TAATGGTTCAGAGGTAAGGAATTTGCCTGCCAATGCAGGGGACCTTGATTCCTGGTCCAGGAAGATCCCACATGTCTCAGAGCAACTAAGCCTGTACTCTAGAGTCTTCCAGCCACAGCTAGAGAGTAGCCCCCTGCTCGTGACAACTAGAAAGTCCACGTGCAGTATTGCAGATCCAGCAAAACCAAAAGTAAATACATCTTAAAAAAAAAAAAGACTGCAAACTCCCAGTGCGGAGGGCCCAAGTTCAATCCCTGGTCAGGGAGCTAAGATTTTGCAAGCCCTGTGGTGCAGCCAAAAAAAAAAAAAAATAAAAAATTAGAGGATCTATTTTTCCATCCATCTCTATTATGTATCAAACAAGCCCATAAGCAGAAGCTGGAGGGGAGTTTGGGGAAAGCAGAGGAAGGTGGAAAACAGAAACGAACTGGCCTTGGGTCATCTGAAGGCTGGTACTTGGAGGACCTCCTGGTCTTTCTTAGGGACACATACCAGTGATTCCCAGACCCAGCCTTTGGTGGGATCCTCACTTGTCTGCAAAGACTTGAATATGATTCACGAATTGTTGCCAAGTTAACATCCATTTGAAAATTCTCAGACTGTGTCCTTCTTGCTTGGCAAAGGACACTTGTACTTAAAGGACAGTGATTATAGCTTTTTTCTTTTTCTTACATTTTGTTATGAAAACTTTCAAATGTAGAAAAGTTGAAAAGACTATGGTGAACTCTCAAATATACTTCCTGTGTAGATCCTACAATTGTGTTTTTTTTTTGACACATAAATGGCATTTTAAAAAGTTCCCTTAAGAAGCCGCCTACGATGTTGATGGAATGTAAATTTGTGAATTGGTGCAGCCACTATGGAGAACAGTATGGAGGTTCCTTAAAAACCTAAAAATAGAGTTGCCATATGATCCAGCAGTCTCACTCCTACACATATATCTGCACAAAACTCTAATTTGAAAAGATATGTGCACCCCAGTGTTCACAGAAGCACTATTTACAATAGCCTGGGCATGGAAGCAACCTAAATGTCCATCATCAGAGGAATGGATAAAGAAGACGTGCTACACACATACAATGGGATATTGTTGTTTAGTCACTCAGTCGTGTCCAACTCTTGTGGCACCATAGACTGTACCCTGCCAGGCTCCTCTGTTCATGGGATTCTCCAGTTAAGAGTACTACAGTGGGTAGTGATTCCCTTCTCTAGGTGATCTTCCCAACCCAGGGATCAAACCTGAGTCTCCTGCATTGGCAGGCAGATTGTTTACCACTGAACCATCCGGGAAGACCGTAATAGAATATTACTTAGTCATAAAAAAGAACCAAATCATGCTATTTGCAGCAACATGGATGGACCTAGAGATTCTCATACTAAGTAAGATTCTCATACTAAGATTCTCATTCTCAGACAAAGGCAAACAACATGATATCACTTACATGTGAAATCTAAAATGTGATACAAATGAAGTTATTTACAAAACAGAAATAGACTCAGATTTAGAAAACAAACTTATGGTTACCAAAGGGGAAAGGTGGTGGAGGAAGGGATAAATATGTATAAAAACTGAATCCCTTTGCTGTACACCAGAAATTAACATAGTATTGTAAGTCAACTACACTAGAATTGTTTTTAAAAAAGGAACTTGAGAAAAAATTTAAGTCACCCTAAGCAAAATTGGAAAGCTGATGACCTATTTAGGTAGCCTGATATAAAAAAAATCAGAGTCTGTGACATCCAAACACCTGGAATTCACTGTCATATGGGGTAAAAAACTAAGCAGAAAAAAAAAAAAAGACTTCAGGTGGGAGGGGGAGAATCCCTTTAGGATTGCATTTTTGAGGCCCTATTAAGGCTACCAGGTTATATTTCTGTCTTTCCCACGGGTTAGGGAGTTCCTCGGGAGCAGTTACTATTTCCTGTTTTTTAAGTTAAATTTTAACTGCACAAGGGAATATTTGAATATAGCCCCCATGAGGCTACAAAACACCCTAGAGCAGATTAACCTCCTCACCAGCTACCCTTTTTTAACCAACCTGGATTCCTCCTCTTCTGAAGATTTACTTTTCTCAGTTTGGGGATGGCCTTTTTCTGCGCGGGACCACAGGCAGGTGGCCCTTAGAAACCACACAGCCATGAGTTGCCTTGCGTTCCTTTCCATAAGGTATTAAGTTCTGCACCATCCGGCGGCTGTCCACAGGGGTGTAGGGGGGAGTCATTCCTTGACCCGTACATATAAATCTAGCCCTTTTTAATGGCTACATAGTTAAAAGTATTCCAAAATTACTTATTTATCTAATCTACAGGTGGATATTTAGAGCACAACACTGGAAACAAATGAGTATAGAAATGCAGCAGCATCCTTTCCAAATTCTGCAGCTCTTTTCAGAGTCCAGGACCTCCAGAAATAGAGCGTAACTGCCCTAGTCACGTTATTAGTAAACGTCCAGTTGTACGTTTTATACTCGGCCAGCTAAAAAGGGGCGTGGTCAGCTACTGGCTGGCATGCAATTAATAACCATGATGATGATGATCGTGCAAACCTTAATTACATGCTCACTTTGCTAAGTCAATCAAACGATTTACTTGCCTCCTGTCACCTGACTTAAACTTTCCAGGAGAGGGGCACACGGTGAGGGATTCTATCATTCTTAGATCTATTTCACAGGGGAAACGAGGCCCAACGAGGTTACTTCGCTGGGGGCCGACCACCGTGAGGCTTGTGGGTCCAGCTGAGCTTTGAACTTAAGTCAGGAGGCGCCAAACTCCTCGCCTCTCTTACGTTTTAGGGATCTCGCGGAAGGTCACCTAGCTTTATCCGAAAGCCTTTGCAAAGTTTTGTGGATTGTGACAGAAATGAACTTGGAATTTTTGGGTGGTGGGGGAGAAAGGAGAAATGGAGGCAGAGGCGCTTGCTGTTTGACTTTTACTTCTCCCGTTCTCAGTGCTCCTCCTTTGCAAAATGAGTTGCGTTGGAGTTATCTTTGCTACCTCCTGACTGTGCGAACTGGAAAACGCTGAGCCCAGTTTCCGGCTCTGGGTCTCGAACCCCCTCTCCGAAGTTCTCAGGCGCGGTGCTGATGCTGTGCTGAGTCTCACGTACTCAGCAGCAGCCTGATAACCGGGGCGGGATTCGGGCCGTGATTGGCAACCGCCCCTGCCAGTCCGCGCCTGGGGCTGATCCTATAAGCCAATATTCTCTTGCCCCCTTGCGGTCGTTGGGCGGTCCCTGAGACGCCCTTGTCAATCCGAGGCCTAGCGCCGTCGGGTTGGTCGCAGCCTGTTAGCTGGCGTGCGCAGCCTGCTATGAGAACCGAGCCGGTCACCGGGCACGTGGGTAGGCGCCGGCGTGTCCCTAACGGCCGACCAATGGTGAGGCGAGGCCGGTAGCTGCGCCCGCCCAATCGAGACGCGCGGGGGGCGGGCCGTGCAGTGTTGATGGGCCCGGTGGAGGGGAGGGGCGGAGCTGTCAGCGATAGCCAATAGGCGCGCGGGCGTGGGCTCGGGGGCCAATGGTAGCCGGGGCGGGGCTGGCGCGCGGCCTTATAAGCCCCGCCCGGGGCGCTCGCGGAGGGCTCGGCCGCCAGCGACCGAGCGGGGCCCGGCCCGAGTAGGGCCTGGGGGTGCGACGCCGAGGGCGGGGTGGCGGGGCCAGGGGCGGGAGGCGGGGGCGCCCTCCCTGGGTCGGGGGCGTGCGGGGGCTGGGCCGGGGCGTCCCCGCCGGCCCCGCACAAAAGATGACAGCGTGGGTGGCCCGGCCCGGCTGGCCCTGCTTGGCGGGCCCCTCCTCTTCCATTATTCACAAGAATCCTAATAATTAAAAAAATAATAATAAAGAGAGAGAGATCCCAGGCCCTGGGATCAACCCGCCTGCATTTCCGGCCCTTTGGGAACCGGTGGGGTAAACGGGGCGCTTCCCAGTGGTGTCCCCCGAAATGTCCATCACTGCATCTCACCATACTGCCCGAGTCAGTCCGCGGTGCCATCGCGGCTTCCAAACTCGCACCCCATTTCCCTGAGCCTCCCCTAAAATAAGCATGCAGTCTGGATTTCTCATTTTAAAAAATGTATCCACTTGCTATGCACAGAACAGTTTGCAGACGCGTTTCCCCAGGGCCTACACATCTCTGCCCGATCGCCATCTCAAAGCCCCCCTCTCTGTAGTGGTGAATCCTGGAGTCGCTCCCACGGGGACCCCCTGGGCTTCCCTTTGCCGCCCCGTGGGAGCTGGGGGACGGATTCCTGCCCAAAGGAACCTGCCCCAGATCTTCCAGGGCCTGGGTCTCCACCCAGTGGGCGCGATGACACCAGGCAGAATGGTGTGCAGGTCCACGGGGGCCAAGGTGGAAGGTTCTACCAAGGATTTTTCTTTCCCCGGGGGCGGGGGAGACGTGGACTGCGCTCTGGCGTGTCCCATCTGTTTGGTCCGGGGAGGATTTCTTGTTTTAATAATTCAGGTGTACCTGGGAACTGTTTCCCCAGTTATGAAACTAGTGAGAAGGTTCTGTTAAGTGGAGCCGAACGATCCTGTAAATACTTAGTGTGTGTCCTTTTTCATGTGTTTCTGTCCCCGGCATCGATTCAGAAGCTCCTTCGGGTCCCACTGGGTGCCAGCACTGTCTTAGGGTCGGAGGTTACTCTCCCCAGCCCTCCGCAGCCATTTCTCCAAATGTCCCCAGGCTGGAGGAAAGCCCTAAGAGGGGCTCATTACTTGAGTCCTCTGGGCTTTGCTCGCTGCCTTGCAAGAGCTGATGGCTCCCCTAATTCTGAAATAATAGCTTCCTTATGAGGCATCGGGAGGATTTGTCAACTCCCGGGTCAGCCTTTCCTCACCACCCTTGCAGAAGCAGCGGGCAGCCTCTTTTCGTCCCGCAGTTTGCTCTTTGGAACCCCGAAAGGATGAAGTGTTAAGAGTCTGGAGTCAACTTGCGATGATCTGAGGGGAGGGGTTCTGAAACTCGCCGGCCCTCTTTCCGTGTCTCTGATTGGACGCTTGGCAAACGTTGGCGCTCCTCTCTGGTGTAGGGGGCACCTCCACGGTCAGACTGCCCCGCCCCGGGGGGAGGTCACTGAGGGGAAGTCACCCCGAGGGGAGCGGAGGTGCAGTTGGAGAAATGCTCCCAGGTTTTGCAGCGAGCGATTCAAGCAGGTACTGTGTCACGCGCTGCGTGTGCGTGTGTGCGTGTGTGTGCGAGCGAGTGTGCGTGTAGCTACTGAGATGATAGGTATACAGGTCTTACTAACAATTGGTTTTCTCACCTTTTCTAATTCTTCCCTCTCTGGGGAGTGGGGCTGCTAAGGAGGTGTTAAGAGCTTAAAGGTACAGGCTAATCGGTCATTCTGGACCCCGCCCTGCCTTTGTTGTACTTTTCTGTCTCCTGGTGGAGACTAGTCCCCAGTTCCTCTGGGGTGATGCTGGGGGCCCTCCATGCCCCTCTTTCCCAGGCTAGCCTCTCTGCTGTAGTTGACCTCGAATTTCCCGCCTCCTATGCATTTTTTTGCCCCTGCCCTCCTGTGCCCTCTCTGGGGAGTGGGGCTGCTAAGGAGGTGTTTTAATCTTTAACCTCACAGCAGCTTGATATATATAAAATATTTAACCCTGACCCTGATCAACCTCAAGTTCTGAGTCCCTTTGTCTGTTTCTTCCCTGCCCCCTTCCCCAAAAGGAGGCGCTCCTGTTTGCAGAGTATGTCCCGCCCACACTGCCGACTCGCCCCCTGGAGGGGAGGAGCTCCGCTGCAGATGCACCCAGCGGGGGCGGGCCAGGTGTGAAGTGGGAGTCTCCTGGCCCCCACAGGGCCCCCACCCAGGCTTCCACCCTCTCGTGGGATCTGGAAGTGTGTGTGGGGTGGCAGGTTCAGAGTTGTGAGACCTTGTGGTCACCCAACCTTCCCAAATCTCCTGGTCAGGGATGGTGGGTGGGGTGGAAAACAAACTGTGGGCAGGGGCAGACTGCAGGACTGTGAGGTATCCCCACCCCTTGCATCTCCCCCTGGGGTTCCTGGCTGCGTTCCAGAGACCTGCTCCCAGGCTCAGCGGGGCCTTACCACCAGAGCTCTGACCCAGCAGAGGGCTTGACCCTGGACTCCCCCCTGACTTGTGTTCTCTTTTGTGTTCCTGGATTTCTGCCCTGATCTCCATTGCCCAGAGTCTAAAAGACCTGGGTTCAGCGCCCTCCTCTGGGGCAGGTCCCTTCATGATTCTGGGCCTGGCTTTCCTCATCTATAAAATGGGTATAATAAGAGCCCATGCCAGGGATCAAAGGGGAGGAGAGTCAGGGAAGGGCTTCACAGGGCACCAGGGTGCTGTGAATCCAGCGCTGGTTTCTTACTGCCCTTAGGTCCCTCTCTGCTTTGCCCTGCCCACGTTCAGGGCTGGGTTCTCTGGTGGAAGGGGTGCTGTCCCGGACACTGGGGTATTGAGCAGCATGCCGGCCCCCATTCCGGTGATAGGAGGAGTACTCCCTCCCACTTGCGACAACTGCGGATGTCCCCGGACGTGGGCCAGTGCCCTCTAGGGGGCGCAGTTGCTCCCCAAGAGACCCCCTCTCACTTAATCTTTAACCTCACAGCAGCTTGATATATATAAAATATTTAACCCTGACCCTGATCAACCTCAAGTTCTGAGTCCCTTTGTCTGTTTCTTCCCTGCCCCCTTCCCCAAAAGGAGGCGCTCCTGTTTGCAGAGTATGTCCCGCCCACACTGCCGACTCGCCCCCTGGAGGGGAGGAGCTCCGCTGCAGATGCACCCAGCGGGGGCGGGCCAGGTGTGAAGTGGGAGTCTCCTGGCCCCCACAGGGCCCCCACCCAGGCTTCCACCCTCTCGTGGGATCTGGAAGTGTGTGTGGGGGGCAGCTTTAGAGCTGGTGACCCTACCTGTCTGTTGGCTTTGACCGTTTTCCTCAGGTCAGCTCTGAGGTGAGTCCTGCTGTCCTCCCTCTTCCTGAGGGTGGTGCTGTGGTTTCGGGGCTCTCACTGTGCCAGCTGCAGGTGCTGTCTGCACAGTGAACTGAGCTACCATACTTACAAAGCTCTGTGCTGCCTCAAGGCCCGAGGGATCCGTGAGTCGATCCGTGTGGTTGGAGGGTTTGGTTTTGAGTTTACTCCCGGCTTTGATGTGTTAGGGGAGCGTCTCATGGGCTGGACAAGGCGTCCCAACTAGTCTGTCAGTTCCCACTCCGGCTCCCTCGAAGGGCTTTTAGAAACTTTCTAAAACCATCTTTCTTTGCTCAGGACCCTCCAAGGGCTTCTTCTTGTCCTTGGAAAAAGTTGCAGACCCTCTTAAGGGGCCCGCCACTTCCCACCCAGCCGCCATGCCTGCTCCTTGCAGTTGAAACCACCTTGACTACCTTCTCTTCCTGCCTCAGGGCCTTTGCACCTGGTGTTCCCTCTGCCAGGGTGCTGTTTGCTCAGGTCTCTACCCAGCTGGCTCCTGGTCATTCAGGACTCAGTCAGAGAGGCCATCCCTGACCCCGCTGCCCAAGTTGACCGTTTTGTCCACCTGTCTCTCCATCCTGCCTTTCCTTCTTTGTATTCAGCACTACCAGAGATGCATATCAGTCTGTTTACATATTTATTGTCTGTCTCATCCACTAGGGCCTAAGCTTTTCCTGTAAAGGGTTAGAGAGTAATGATTTTCAGCCTTGTAGGCTGGACAGTCTCCGTTCTGACCGCTCCTGTCTGCCCTTGTAATACAAAGTACAGAAACCAGTGATTGCGGCTTTGTTCCAATAAAACTTTATTTGTGGTCACGGAAATGGAATTTCATATGCATTTCACATGTGAAGAACTATCTTTCTTCTGTTGATCCTGCCACCCACCCAACCATTAAAAACCCTTAAAACCATCTGGGGCTTGTGGGCCATACAGAAACAGGAGATGGGTTGGATTTAACCCATGGGCCATAGGTTGGGTGCACCCATAGTAGGATGCGAGGGCCCCACTGTGGGCATGACATCTGGCTTAGTTGCCGTGTGTACCCCCAGCATCTTGGACAGTTCCTGCCCACAGTGGGTGTTCAGTAAGCATTCAGTTGTTGGATGAATAAGTTTCCATCTTTCCTACAACAAAGTAGAGTTGTACTCTATGTCTTAAAAATGGGTCTTGGGTTGTTTTGAGGAAATTTAAAGAGCAGGGAATATAAGAAAGTTTTCTGGCCCCATCCACCAAAACAATCTCAAAATTGAGAAGAGTAGATGTAGGGACTTCCCTGGTGGTCCAGTGGTTAGGGCTCTGAGCTTCCACTGCAGGTGGTGCAGGTATGATCCCTGGTCAGGGAACTAAGATCCCGCATGCTGCAAGGCACAACCAAAAAAAAAAAAAGTGGATGTAAACAAAGGCAGACATTAATATTTCATGGTTGGCCTTGCCGACCTCTCCAGGGTGTTCCCTTTCTTTCACCGCAGCAGAAGATTGGGAAGGAGTGTACTCGGCCTAAGCAGTCTGTTTTGATCCGGCAGAGGCTAAGGGTTTAAAAGAAAGACGCTCTTTCCCAATCATTTTGTTTTGTAAGCATCCGACCCACCCTCCTTTGGCCTTCCACGATGGCTTAGTGGTAAAGAATCTGTCTGCAGAGCAGGAGAAGCAGGAGATGTGCTTTGATCCCTGGGTTGGGAAAATCCCCTGGAGGAGATCATGGCAACCCACTCCAGTATTCTTGCCTGGAGAATCCCAGGGACAGTGGAGCCTGGTGGGCTACAGTCCACAGGGTTGCAAAGAGACACAACTGAAGCGACTTAGCACACACACACGACCCACCGTCTTTACCTACATCATGCCCCTTCGGAAAGGACAGCGTGGTTCTAGGCTGCAGCCACCCAGCTGCCTGCCTGCCCGGGGACGCTTGTGGGTATGAGAATTGAGATTTGTAGGGTGAGTAGACAAGGGATGGCTGTGGAGAAGAATTGAATCGGTTGAGTGCCTGTGGCCTTGCTCCCCCACCACGACTTTTGGGAGCGGAGACAGGCTGACGAGTGATTTCCAAGCCGGGCAGATCATTAGCGGCTTAGATCTGGGTCTGTCCCAGGAGTGTTCTGACTTGTCAAGGAAGCATACCGTTAATTTACGGTCATGCCTTCTCCAGCTGATTGAAATAAACAACCTGGAGAGTGTTACTCAGAACTTCTTGGCTTCCCAAAGTTGCTTTTTTTTTTTCTGGTCTATGTGTTTCTGTGCCCCTCCGCCATCTCCCTCTTCCTTCTTCCTTCCTGCCTCTTTTCTTTTCCTGTGGCTCCCGTGGCCCCAAGGGCACTGGTGAAAAGTTTGCCTTGCTGTCTTTACCTTGAGGGTGGCCCGTGGTTCTCGCAGTGGTGAAGCAAGATCCCTCTGGGCCTTGTGTGTGTTCGTTTAGTGGACAAAGAGTAAGAATCAGAAAGCAAGGCTCTGAGGGTTGCTGCACCCTGAATGGGTCTCTGGTTGCAGCACGGAGCCAGAGGTAATGTGTTTGGCCCCAGCTGCCAGCACTGGTGATCAACACTCCAGGTCTCAGACAAGCCTGGAGGGCTCGCTGTGAAGAGTCAATCTGGGTGTAGGCAGGCAGGGTTTGTCCCCAGGCCCACTTCCTTTCTGTGCTTGCCATTGGACCCAAGTGAGGGCTCCTTCTGGGCAGGTAGGGGTAGAGGTAGGCCCACTTTAATGGTTTCGTGGCTGCTGGCCCCGATCTCGGGGGAGAGAACGTGGAGAGGAGTGATTCCCGGAGGATGAGCTGGCAGGGGACCTGGAATGGTGCTTTGTGCAGAAGGAGAGCAGGGATCCAGGGGGCCTCTTTTGAGCAGGAGCCAGCCCAAAGCAGCCAGTGGGCTTTTGAGTGGGCTGGAGAGGGGCTGCATGTGAGGCCAGAGCTCAGGACCCTGGCCTGTCTGGGCAACCTGTCTTGCGAGGCGGCAGCCTGGGAGCTGGATGTCTGGAGGACCCTGGCTGGGCAACTGGACCGGGACCTGCTCCTAGCATCTTCAGACCCCTGCTCTTCACCCCATCTGTCCTTTACAACCCCCTCCAGCAGAAAGGTCGGCCTCCGCCAGCCGGCTCCCTACCCTGCATGGATCTGATTATCTCGGTCACGAGTCAGGAGAGAGCCTTGCTGGTCTCCAGCTTGCGTGTGAGCAAAGGCCCTGGAGCTGAAACTCCTGATTCACTGCTCTGCTCCAGCTCC